AGGTAAGAATTTATGTTTGTTGTTTGTTATTGTAGCATACAGGGGATAGCCTAACTTCAAGAAGCAACAAATAACAATCTCGCCTCAAGGCACGACGGCCCAAAACCAAATGTGAGGCATGTTTTTGTTCTTTAAGACCTTGGACCACTGTCTTCCTTTTCCTCCTCATTCTTGCTATGAAATTTATTGCAATTTTAGAAATAAAACTGACGCGAAAGAGTTATTGATATTCAAGTCTTGGAAATATGATATGCTAACTATTTGCACATACATGTTTTCGTTAAAAGGCCCCAAAAAGACCGGCTCTAATAGGCTACATCAAAATGTAGCAACTTATCTATGTTGGTCTTACTTATCTTCTGAACTGTGGGATTTTTTATTTGGTCTTATTTATCTATGGTTGTATTTTTAACTTAGATATTATTAAAAACTATTTTTCTTATGTATAAAAAATATTGCATTATATGTTTGAAAAGGTGGGACCTTAGTAGATTGTTTGCTTGGCTAACAAGTTATGTATCCACATTAAATTTCAGGAACAACGAAAAAAATAGTGACATATGGTGTTATTTCTCTTTCCATCAAGGTAAATTGTTGCATAGATAGGCTTGGATATTTCCTTCAATGTGAATGCATCTCCAATCATACTTGTAAATATTTGCTATTATAGTCCTGATTATTTTGCTTTATGCAACCGGTGAATACAATCTCGGAAAAAAGTCTGGACCAGACGAACAACCTTCTTGTAGGAGCTAGGTGAGCTCCACTTGCACTTTGTATCTTTGATATTTTTGTTTAAAAATTAAGAATATAGGTGATTTTGCATTGGAGTTTAAACTATACATCGACTCATAATATCAAGAGACCCTACTTTTTAACATTTATGGTTCCTTCACCACCATTTTAGAATAATAAATCCCAAATCATTTAACAACACATACACATGCACACACATATTAGTATGGTAGAGTTCATTACCCAGAACTAATACATACACACATGCACACACATATTAGCATTTTCGAGGAATAATAAGAACCGCCATGAAAGAGTCAGGGAGGGAAGCAAGTGTGGGGAGTTCATCAACCCGAAGGCAAGTTAAGTACACACAAGTTTTATTCCTTGCATTGTTTCATTATATATATATAGTTTGAATTCAAAAACTTGTTGGAAAATGTTCAATTTACAGTCTTCATGTTGCAAGATTTTCTTTTACCTAGTGGATTTTCTAACTTTTGGTATTATACAAATATTTTCACACAAGTTTTATTCCTTGCATTGTTTCATTTTATATATATATATATATATATATATATATATATAGTTTGAATTCAAAACTTGTTGGAACATGTTCAATTTACAGTCATCATGTTGGAACATGTTCAATGTGGTTGCTCATCAGCTTGTGATGTAGAGTTATGGGTACAAGTGATTGGGAAAAAAAGAAAAGAAATGGAAGATCTACGGCTTTGATGCGCCTCGAGATGTTCACTATGTGCTGATTGATTCAACAGGAGGAATCTGTGGATAAGCTATATATGTTTATCCATTTTCACTTTATAACCCCACATAACATTTTATTGCTCATCTTGTGTATGCATATGTTTAATAATTGTAAACACGGTGTTTAAAAATAATAATTAAAGCGGATAAGAATGGAGATGACATCGGGTGAGATGGCAAAGCAGGAGAAGCTTGCTACGTTGAATGTGCACATGTTGTCGTAGGTGCAGTATATGTATATGTTTCATTTTCACTTTATAACCCCCACATTACATTTTTTGCTGTAGACTATTCCATGAAGAGTTGTCGAAAATGACCTTTTCCAACTGAAATTTTCGTAGATGAACATCCCGTTTTTAGTAATATATTTCAAGTAAATTCAATAAGTTAGAGAAGTTGACATATCGTATCTCAAAAAGCATGTGTACTCAATTATATATAGTAATTGTATGTTTAGTTGTATAATTGCTCAAAATGATATCAGATCTTTTAATTGTTTTCTTAAATAAACTAATTTGTCTGATGGATCACCGATGTATATGCCTTTGGCAATAGTTAAGGGGTCGTCGTCAATCCGTTGCTAATGGGCCTTCGACAATCCACCAATATATGCTACTCCCTTCAGCACTGGCCCCCCTCGGTGTTATTCCCTTCTCCAATTCGTCGGTGTTACTCCCTCACGCAATCCGCTAGTGAATGCATCATTCCGTAATCCCGTGTGATATCTCTGTTTAGCAATCTCTTGGGGAATAGAGTTTATCCCAAGTCCTTCGATAATTTGGTGATCCTTTGCTGAAATGGGCCATTGGGCAAGCCACTAGAGATATCCTTTAGGGGTCCGTCTATGAAAGTTACTTTCACCAACCGATAACTGCAGGATTACGGAAAGAACCCGTGAAATTCTTCTAGATTATAGCGAGTGTTCGGTTATCCAAATAGTGGTACCGCATTATATAAATTGGTAAAAATGGTCCTTGCAATTTTAAAATTAAAACAAACTTAAAAACTATTTCAAATGGAGAGGTTACTATACATGATGTGTTGCACACTATTTCAAATGTGTTGGTAACATTCACAACTACCAACAGATTACCAGCAAACTAAAACACATGGCTTAGAAAAGAAGGAAAAAAAGAAGAATTTATGACATCCGTCTAAGATGTTGTATATCAGAATTCAAACATTTGAAAAGATGCATTAAGTTTTATCATTCAACTTGCAAATTAATCTGCTCACATCAAAAGTATATATATATATATATATATATATATATAAAGAGAGAGTGTGTGTGTGTGTGCTGTGGATGGTACTAAACTTCCTTGCTAGTAATCGCTATGGTACAAAGCATCTTCATCCGTAATACCTACAGAACACAACAAGTTAATGCAGATGAAGTTTTTTCTGGTGAACGTTTGACAGTTTTCAGAGGGGAGGATGTCGGGGTGGCAGCATGAGTGACGATTGGGGATGTGGTTGCTGCTTCATATTGTGTGTCCTTTGGAACTACAGGTGATGAGGTTGGTGCTGCCGTAGCTTTAGCTACTAACTGACGTGGTGCAGTTGGCGGTGATGGTGGTGCAACAACGTTAGTTCCTGCAGAAAGAGGTGGGATTGCGGTAGGTTGAGATGGAGSTTTGGTTGTTGYGGCTCGAAATCTTGGCGTAAAAAGCACTTGACTTGGTGGTGGCGGTGGTGGGGCTTCATGAGGCTGTAGGGTTGATGATGGCAGTGGGTGAACGATGTGGGGTAATCGTGACCATGGAAGGGTTGGAGCTCCTTCTTGAGTGGCCATTGGGAAAATAATAAGGTGAAATGGTTATGCAGAAAATTGGAAAGGGAAGGAAGATGTTTATATAGAATAGAAAACAAAACAAAAATCATGAAAAACATGATTCCAAGAGGGTTTCATCCGCCATTGATATATGAACATGTTTATAAAACAAGAAGCAATTAAATCATTCAACTTTATTCCTTTCCCACGTGCATAATTAACATCTTTATTATTGCATTTTGTTTCAAGTGGATTGTTTTATTTTTTGCATTTTTTATAGATGTACCTGTTAACACAGGGTTTTTGAGCTCTCAAAGCACCAATTTTTTGGCCTCAATCATCATATAGTTTGTGAATGAAGGTTTGGTCTTGCCGTTCATCGTGCTCGCTATCACTTTAATTGACTCTTGATGATGACAGCCGCCAAAACTATTGTTCGCCATGCATTATTGTCATTGAATATTATGGACTCAGATTTTGTACTAAATGCACCTCCTCATTTGATGTGCTATTCGACATACTTCAAAGACTGTCTAACATCTTAGTAGTCTTTTTTATTAGAAGTAAATGAAATAAAAAGTGCATGGTTGTCTAATAATGAGATTATGAGAAACTTTTTTTTGTACATTTAGCTAAATATTTTAGACTCACGAGGATGATACACGAGTTACATGAGGTATGTTCACATTATGAAAGGCCCAATACGAAAATTTATGTAAACCACAAGAACCAAATTTGCAAGTTAACTCTAATTTTTTTAATTAACTTTTTAAAATACATCTAAATTCCATGAGAAATTCTTAGAACATTCCTATGGATGCCATCAATCGATTTTAAAAAACAGTTTATCGAATCATTTTTAAAAGTCTGTCAAAAAATCTTTGGATTTTTCTACGGGTTTCCTAATGAATTCATCACGTGAGTTTAAATAAATAGTTTTTAGTAAATTACTTTGTTGGTCCCTATTGCTCATAATCTGGATATGGTATCTATTTCAAAATAATTACACTGAATGTCCCCATGGTTTGCATTTAATTTCCAACTAGTCTGTCCTGACGGAGTTAATATCCAATCTGTCAAGTTAGGAGCATCTCAATCAATTTATCTTTTTATTTTTTATATAATTAAAAATTTAAAAGATTATATATATAATATTAATAGAGGAAGGAACATGCGAGAATTTAAACGTTTTGCAAGAAGGCGAGAAGTTCAATATCATATATGATTACATTCCATTAGGTGTGTTTAATCATATATGATTAAGAGTGTCTGTGTTGTCAATGCAACATGTGTAAAATCATATACATTCCTTTTGTAGGACTTCAGTTGTGGTGCAGTTGGTGTTGATGATGGTGCAACAACGTTAGTTTCTGCAAGAGGAGGTCCAGCCGGTGGAGCTCGAAATCTCGGTGTAAAAAGTAGTGGGCTTGGCGGTCGGGGTTGATGAGGCTGTGGGGTTGGTGATGGTGGTGGGCGACCGATAAGGGGTAACGTGACCATGGAAGGGTAGGAGCTCCTTGGTGGGAAGCCATTGATAAAATACTAAAATAACTTGATATGCCAATTTTTTGACATGATAACAAGTTTATAAGAAGACTTTTTAAATAAATTGTTGAATTAGTATTTTTATTTCACATTTTTTGAAAAAACATTTCACAAAAACAAGTATTCTAAAAAGAATATGTATATTTGCTAGAAATCCTATGAAAATGCTAGTAAACCACTAGTTTTCAAAATAACTCTAAAAACTTGTTTTCTATCAACACTTTTAAATAATATATTATTGTTTCATCATCATCATCATATATATATATATATATATATATATATATATATAAAGGCAATTATATTGTAATGATGTTTGAAATACATCTTGTATGAGCTTCTGATGAATTTTCTATGAATTGCATTATTTCCTTGTAAAAAAGAATTTTAAATTATTTTTTGAAAATCAATCAAACATTGATAATTAAGAATTTTTCAATGGATTTTGGATGAAAAGCATTATGCCATTTTAGAAAATAACCTTAATCATTAGACGATTTAGTGAATTACCTTATTCTCTTATCGCTGATTGTAGTTGCAATTGCTACACAAAGCTAAGCAAAGCCTGTAATTATGGTTGCAGTCTCTTATTACAGCCACGACTTTGCTTTACTAGTTGCAATCTTTGAGATCCGCTTTTTTTTTTTAGATTAGGGCACAGGAAATGCACACCTTCATGTCCTCCCAATCACAGAGTAAGGCTCTTTGTTTATCTCTATATACTTCAAAGTTTAGAGTTGTATTTCTCTTTCATTTCTTGTTAGATATTTGTTCTTTTGAATCTCTTTCTCTTATTGAAGATGTAGAATTGATAATTACACGATTAACATCCAACCCATGTTGTGTTTACTCTATGCATTTTTTTATACAATTTAGTGAAATATAGTTGCTATGGTTTAATTTTACTATCATACTTTTTAATTCTAAAACACCTATGTAATATTGATGAGCACATTGTACATAAAAAGCTAGATGATTAATTTTCACTGTTATAATGTGCTTGTGGTGTCTTACGTCATCAAAAACAACAATATGACATTTCTTAGTGTTTATCTCTAAAGCAAATCCTTAGGTTACTGGTGACTAATCCGTTGGTGCATTTATGTTTAATCCACGAATCAAGGTTGATGAAGATGCTTATCCTTGAGAACCGTGAGAACCAACTTTCCATGAATTATTTGTGATGAATGTACCTAAATACTCATGAATATTGTTCATCATGAATATCATGCATTTATTCATCATGAATAGTTGGTTCTCATAGTTCTCAAATGAACCTGCCCCATGGTAAATAAACATAAATCAATGGTTGAGTTGCTTGTTGGGATGTACCTGATATTAATTTCAACTTTCTCTATTATGACTTGCTATTTTTGACATATATTAGTTATTGCTAAATCATTAAATAATGGTGTGTGTGAATCTAGCAGGCCGATTCCACTATTCTTGGCTTAGTGGAGTTGGGAAGGAGTAAAATTGTTGTATAYGGGGATTCCAATTGCTTGGATAATAGCTATATGGTTACCAACTGTTATTGGCTTTTGAGGAAAATACTTGAATTCATAGGCAAAAAATATTAGAGACCTGGTGCTAGAGCTAACATATTCTTTCGACAGTAGAAAAGGTATAAATATGTTAGATAGAAGTTCTCAAATGTGTTTATTCTTTCTATTGCATATGTTACCCAAGTCTTAAAGCGTTCTGTTTATTCTTGAATTTCAGGAACCTCATAAACTACTTCAATCAGACTTTAAAAGAATGGCGATTTTCTGTCCTAGATGATCCTCTCATCTACGACTTCGATTTGACATCCGTCCCTCCTCTCAAACATGACTGATTTACTGTAGCGTACACACATTGATATTTTAAAATGTCTTCTTACATATTTAATTAATTCATAAACATTTATGGGTAATGAACTCACGTCCCCCWACGMATTTGATATTGTATTTATCAATTAGTATGGGGGAGTTCATTACCCAGAACTAATACATACACACATGCACACACATATTAGCATTTTCGAGGGATAATAAGAACCACCATGAAAGTGTCAGGGAGGGAAGCAAGTTTGGGGAGTTCATTAACCTGAAGGCAAGTTAAGTACACACAAGTTTTATTCCTTGCATTGTTTGATTATATATATAGTTTGAATTCAGAACTTGTTGGATTATCTAATTGGAACATGTTCAATTTACAATCATCATGTTGTAAGATTTTTTTTAACTGGTGGATTTTCTAACTTTTGGTATTATACAAATTCTAGGATGCCCTTTAGTTATTTTATACACGTGAACATATATAAATATTCATGGTAAATAATATGTATAATATTGATGTATGAATACTTAAGAGTTATTGTATGCATACGAACATATATAGATATATATGTTCATGATAAATATTATAAAGAAAACATATATTGATGATAAACAATATTTATATTCATGATTAATATTTTAGTGAAATTGTATATTAATAATGAATGAATAGGGATGTATGAATACTGAAGATTTGTTGAATAAAAATGAAAATGCATAACTATTATTGTTGAATGTTATACTAAGTTGTATATTCATGATGAATATGATACTAATGTACAAATATTAAAGAGTTAATATTATACTAATGTATAAATACTAAGGAGTTGTTGTAAACATATGAATGTGCATAAATATTCATAATGAATATTACACAAATATACTATTTTACCTAAAAAAAAGGTTAAAAAAATACATCGAAGAGAATGATATTCTCGATTTTTTAATATAATTTGTTTGATTAAAATATTAATTATTTTTAAGATAATTTAGTTAAAATTAAGGGGGTAAAAGAAATTTAATAAAAAAGAGAATAAAAGRTCAAATATAGTAAACGTAACCCATGACATTCATTAATTTTCTTCTATGTTGTAATTAATCACATGTGAAAAAGAATGATTAAAATTATGCATGTGAAAAAAACAAAAAAAGTTGATTTGGTTAATTCATGAACAAAACCATAAATAAACACCATTCAAGATACAAAAACGAGTAAAAGTACTAATAAAGTGGGTGCATGAACCCTCTTGGAATCTAATTCCAATCGGTCATATTTTTCTCATATTCTATTTTAGTTTACTAGTGTATATAAACATCGTCATTGCCTCTCAAATTTTCTACATCAATCGATCAACCATTTAATCCTATCATCTAATTACCACTTAATTTCTTGATGTCTGGGCACCAAGGAGCACCAACACGTCGACAATTGTTACGGTTACCCCACATCAGTTTCCCACTATCATGGCCATCACAATCACCACCTCCAACACCATCCCCGCCGCTTTTTACTCCAAGATTTCCAACCACACCATATGGACCTCCTCCTCAACCCACTCCAACCCCTTCACAACTGAAGTCCAATCATAGGAACCAGCCAGAATACGAGCAAAAAGGTTTGGAAAATGGCTTTTATGGTACACATTGCYGAAAAAA